AGAAGAGGGGTTGTCGAACTCACCAGACGAGACCAAAAGCGCCCATTCCCACGGGCTGCAGGTCTGTGTACCTGCGAGAGAATGAGTAAATGAACGATAGATCATACTGATCTTCTTTAAAACGTCAAAAAGAGTCGCACCTGCTTGTAATTTCGAAGGTGGTGCCGAAGATTTGGGCACGCACGAATTCCGCCATTTTGGAGTAAGGATGACGGTACACCGCACTCAAGGAGGGGGGGAAAGTGGGAGCCTCGGAGCTCGTTCTCAGGAGATTTGGGGATTAGGAGTGGAAGCCAAAGAAGACAAGAGATCGAGGGGAGTGAGGTGGGAGAGGAGTGTCGAGTGGGAGGGATAGGAAAAAAAAAAAAGGAAGCAGTAGCAGGAGAGGCTAATGTGAACAACGACAAGAGCAAGAATAAAAATGCGGGATGTAAGTAGGAACGAGGTACAACTGGTTGTCGGTGTTGGAGAGAGAAAGAGGCAGCAAAAGACCGTAGGTGGCGCCCAGCAGGGTGTGTGTGGGGAAAACGAGTCTCTCTCTAGTAATTCCTACTAGTCCGTTGAGGTTCTCAGTCTCCGGAACGCCCAAAACAAGACCGATGACGTCCGCGACGGAAGCAGGGTATCGCAGAAAGGTCCGGCTGGGTGTGGGCACAACTATTACTACTACTGGGTACTGTGTTAAGAGCAGCTCTGCGATTCTTAGTTCCTTTCTGTTTTCCCTCTCGTCTACCGATCGACTACTAGTGCCACTGCCACTGTGACGCGGTCTTGTCTAGACTCTTGAGTCATACCCATTGGTTGGATTGGTTGGAAGACGGTTCCAAATTTCAGGGAAGAAGCCCGTCACGCTTACCTAAGAGTCCATGGGAAATTTTATCCAGAGAATCATATCATTATTATCATTGGCATGCAATTGTTATGTAGTCCTTCATTGGTTAGTAGTTCTTCTATTAGATCTTTTGAGATGTTGTATATATAAAGATGTATCAATGCCCCGCGGGGTCTAGCAGAATTGTTCCTCCAGTGCATCAGCAACAACCTCAAAAGGCGAATAGACATGGAGCATATACGTATTGTCCCAGACTACTGCTGGTACTTACAAACATCCCAACCTAACTATTTAGAATATGGCGCGCGCGCGCGAGAGAGAGAGAGGAAGAGAGAGTGTGTGTATGTGGGAAAGATTCATGTCTTCTGCAGTATACCTCAAGATCCCGTGTCAGACCATTCATATGGCCATTAACTAGAGTAATGATCGATAGATGGGCTACCATCATCGCGATCGATCGAAACACTACTCACAGTAAGTATGATTCCAAGAAGGCGTCTACTACTACGTAATGCCCAACCGGGGCGAACCATACTATCAGTAGTACTAGTTAGCATCAAGCTGTGCTCCTCAATGTCATCATACCCCCCCCCTCGGTGGGGCTCAGCCGGTTCCAATCAATTCCACCAATTTCGTGACGAACAACCCATCAATATTAATTCCTGTCCCCATTGATAAATTCATATCTAACATACTATGTCGGCCGAACAACGATCTTCTCGCACACTCATCTTGTATCCGTCAAAGCTTCTAATTCTGGCTAAGGGGCGACCCGGAGAGGAAAGGACAGAAGAAGGACAATCAATCAGGTGATTACTAACATTAGTACAGTACTCCGTGCTATGTATGGAAACTATATCCGGGTTTGTGTAAGGCTGTTCAGGCTGTCATGATTATTTGTTTGACAGATTTCCCTTCGTATGCCATTATTAGAATCGAGAAGTTTCAGCACAAGGAAATTGGCACGGGGTGCCAACGCTGCTACTAGTGCTCGGCAGCGGCCATGCTGCCTGACAGGAGGGGAGCCAGGTCTTAGGATGACTGACTCCAATATGCCGATACAACCTAATTTACCCGGGATGGTCCAACCCCATCATTATCTGCGCTCTGACCATAAAGCTGTTTCTCTCCCAACCCTGATACTAGAGTACACAAGATTTCAAGTTCGGAGCGATCGGTAGAAGACTGGTTCTCATACCTGCAAGGAGTTTGTGGCACAATGGAAGTACGTTTCGACAATGGGCAAATGCCACATGACATGCCGCTTTGACACGGCCATCCCTGCTGTACTACAACAGACTGGTTTCATGTTGGCATGAAGAAAGGAACGCCCTACGGCGTGACCGTTCTATGTGAGAGGTTGTAGAGCTGATGTCAAGACACTGGATGAAGAGTTCCTGTTGTAGACTGCGAGATCAATGGACGGTGTCTGATTCGAGTCATTATTGACTGCTCAACATTCGTATATGGTCCACTGTATGTCTTACTTTCTAATGAACATTTAATATCAGCATGAATACTGCAGTCAACACATTGAAGTTGGCTCCGTTGGGAGTGGGACCAGCGGTATTTCATAGACTCGTTGGCATGCTACTACACGAGGTAACGTCTAAGCCCGGTAGGTCCATGAAGCCGCATTCTATGTAACCTTGATTAAAGCCAGTGACCGCGACTAACGGTTCTGGACAATGCTTATGCTTCTCAGGCTCAGTGTCAATTAATATGCTACTATAAGCTGCGAAATGTCGCTGTGAATATATAGACAAGTACAAGCCAGGGCCAATAAATCTCAAGTGGAAGTATAATGTCACCCGTCCGTGTCTCCAGAGCCCAAAATTGTAAGGAGCAAGGAATATTAAATCCGAGCGCGAATTGCTGACATGATATGAATATAAGCGACATGTCATCATTAAAATCCATCATTCCATTGCATTTAAACTCGATTGTTCATCCTCAGTTTTCTTTCACTCGCATGGCACGCTCTCGAGGTGAATTTCTGCTGCTGTGCACAGAGATGTTTGGGATTTACCACACCCTCTTCTGTTCTTACAGCATTAAATTCTGATGGGCAAGAGAATAAAAACGGATGTAACTATGGTGAGGGAATAGAAAGAGAGCTAGGGGTGTTTTTAGTTGTGGTAGCTACAGCCAGTGTTTCATGTGCACATGGTTGTTGTCTCAAAACATTTCTCCGATCCAAGTTCCTATTATTAACGCAGGATTCGAGGGCAGTGGGGGGAAAGGAGGAGTTCAAAACGGATACTAGTGTACTCCATAGTGAGAAAATGAGAAAACTTAGAAGTCAAGTCATTCTTTTTCGGATACGTCCAAAACGATCATCCAGGGCGGGATACTCGACAAGGCACGCCCCTACACTAGTATCCTTGATACAGTCAAAACATGGCTAAAACACAAGTTGGTACTTTGCAGTCAATTGGGGGCTGAGCTGAATTATATCGACAGGCCAGCGAATACTGGTATCTATCATTCTTAAGTGCAAAGTACTAAGTTGATTGGGACTGTTGGATGATGTTATTGGATGTAGCGACAAGTGACCAGGTAGCCTCATGAATTGCCCCGGTTAGTCTGACGATCTTCTAAGCACACAGTGTTCCACTCGGGTGCTGTTGTTAGCCACAGCCTCACTTCATGTGCTGCTGGGCAAGATGATGCTCTAAAAGGTAAATGAAACTGAGAAAAAGGATACCATCAATACGAATAAGAAATACACAATAAGTAACCAAAGAAGAAATGTATCATATAGAAGATCTAAGTATATAAGAGGATCGACACTCACTCCCTGCGTCAAGAAAATATGCGAAAATTGTTTGTTTGGATATTCAGGAGCACGGGGTACCACCGAATCGGCTCTAGACCAGATGTGACACAATACCGTCAATAGAGAATCAAACCCTTCACTCGGGGTTTGTGGACGCACAGTAGTCGTTGTAGTAAGTGTTGGTTGGAGGAAAGGGAAGAACACAAGACACACGCTAAAATATTACGAGCGACAGAGAAAGCCTAGCTAGGCAAACTGAGTGTGCCCTATCTGGCCTGACTCGTTGTAATTGCTGCCACTGGCGTTTTGAGTTACTAGTACATTAGTCCCTTTTTCTTTTTGCCTCCCCCGGCCTGCCCACAAATCTGACCACAAGATTAGCAGTCTAGTAGTAGTAGGTAAAGCGTGGGTTATGTTTCTTTAGGGGGCTAATGGGGAGGGTCTAAAAGAAGTAGGAGTACTATCTCAGACATGCTCTGGAGAGGGAGAACTTTGGCCATCAGGTGAACCCGACCATTGACATAAAGATCGGAATACTAGAGGGTATTATTATTATTATTATTATTATTATTATTATTATCGTTATTTTTGGGGGGAGGAGGGAATATTATACTTACATACAACCCCAAGATCGATCAGATCCATTCACCCATTCAAACCCCCATTTAGCGCCAGAAGTTCTTTCTCTCCTCTCTCTTGGTCTCTCCATCTCTCCCTTTATGTCTTTCACTCGCGGTAAGCTTGGGTCGCCCGGTCCACGTTTTTCCCAAATACCCACCCGCGCCCCTACGATCGAGCGAGTATGTAATCCTCTCCTCTGTCTTTCTGCCATCTCCACTTCCACCTGTCTAGATGACGATTGGGAAACATCCACAACTGGCCCATCCATCCCATCCCATCCCATCCCCATTCCATCCTCTCTACCAACCACTACGAACTAACCTTCCATCAATCAATCAATCACATCCTACCATTCACCTTACTCCTCTTCCTCCCTCCACCCCCTCATTTTTCCTTTCCTACTAATTAACGCACACGAACTTATTTCCTCCTTTTATAATGACCAGTAATAATACCTAATTCCCTTTCATATTCACACGTCCGCGCATTATTTCCCCCATCCTCCATCCCATCCCATCCCATCCCATCTCATCTCCTTCCTCACTTAACTACTATTACCCGCCTGATTGATCGACCCGACCGACGACTGATCCCCATTGCTTACATTATCTCACACTCGAGATCCGCGCTCTCATCCACTCTCCCACATCATCCCCCCCCCCCGATCGACTTCAACTACCCTTTTTAGCGTCAGGTCGTCATTCTCGCTCGCTTTCCTGCTCCGCAGTTGGTTCTCTTGACACCCCTCACCCTCTCGATCAAACCTCCAGCAGAACCATCCTACTCCGCGCTTGGGCTCGGCGTCTTTTCGTTGCTTCGCTGTCTCCCCTGCTTCCTTTCCACCTCCTGCGTCACGAGCCAACACCTCCGCCGCCCCCCGGGAGCTTGCAGTTGTCGTCGCTCCGGCCTTCCCCGTTTCGACCTCGAGCCGTCTGTTGTGGCTCTGCCTTCGGCCACTACGCGCGCAAGCCTCGATCCCTGATCGAACTCCATTGTCGATCGCATATACCAACGTCTCTCTTGCTCTCCCCGTTCCGATCGCTGCAGCGATATCCTCCCCATTGCGCCGCCCATAACCTTCCGTCCGCAATCACATCTGTCTGTTTGGGTCGTTGGAGCTGCCACTCGTCTGGGTATTCGCCTCTCCCGTCGGCGTTGGGTCTCAGCGTCCTGACAGGTTGATGCCGTATCCTTCCGCAGGCAGCTAATGGGTTAGCTTTTCGCTGTCTGGGAATCATACCGAGAACATGGGTTCGTGTGTGAGCACGGAAGCGACAGGAGATGCGGAGTCGAAGCGGAGGAGCCAAGCAATCGACCGAAAACTAGAAGAGGACTCTAGGCGACTACGGCGAGAGTGCAAGATCCTATTGCTTGGTTAGTTGCATCTCCTCATCCGGCTATACGAAGGCCGATGCTATTTCAAGCTCCACTCTTGCTAACTGTGATATCGTGTGTGATGTTAGGTTCCGGAGAAAGCGGCAAGTCGACCATCGTCAAGCAAATGAAGATCATCCACCAAAATGGGTACACAGTTGAAGAGCTGGCGTTATATCGCCTAACGGTCTACAAGAACCTCCTCGATTGTACCAAATCTCTCATCGCAGCCTACCACCAGTTCTCGCTAGAACCTTCAAGTCAAAAAGTCCGCGACTACATCCAATTCCTTTCCGATTATAACATTGACCCTGATCCAAATATACCCCTGGATTCTCGGGTCGGTGATGCGATAACGTATCTCTGGAATGACCCTTGTACTTCCAATGTGCTGGAGCATCAGAACGAATTCTATCTGATGGATTCCGCGCCATAGTAAGTGCTTGCGTCAATTCGAGTCCTACCACAAGCACAGCCGCTGACCGAGTCCTTTCAGTTTCTTTGATGAAGCTAAGCGGATAGCTTCCCCAGATTACATACCCAACGTAAATGATGTACTCCGCGCGCGGACAAAAACGACAGGTATATATGAGACGCGATTTACCATGGGCCAGCTTAGCATACAGTATGACCTGTCCTCTCCTTGAAGGTGACCCCTGTTTCATCGACAAGATGCTGACTTGTCACATAGTATGTTCGATGTTGGCGGCCAGCGGAGCGAGCGGAAGAAGTGGATTCATTGCTTTGAAAACGTAACATCCATCATCTTCTGCGTGGCGCTGAGTGAGTATGACCAAGTATTATTGGAGGAGAGCAATCAGGTATGTCTCGGAGCGCTTCATCGCCCTGCCCATGCGCCACTGCTGATCTCGCTTTCAGAATCGCATGATGGAAAGCTTAGTCCTGTTCGATTCCGTGGTTAATTCTCGATGGTTTATGCGAACGAGCATAATTCTTTTCCTAAACAAGGTCGATCTTTTCAAACAAAAGCTTCCTCGATCTCCATTGAACCATTACTTTCCGGACTATTCAGGCGGCAATGACGTGAATCGGGCGGCCAAATACCTTCTTTGGAGATTCAATCAAGTCAACAGAGCGCATCTGAATCTTTACCCTCAGTAAGTTTTGATCAAACCTGTGCGTGCTGTGTAATCACTAATTCGCCCTCAAGTCTGACTCAGGCTACCGACACGACGAATATCCGTCTGGTATTCGCCGCTGTAAAGGAAACGATCCTGCAAAATGCCCTCAAGGATTCGGGTATTCTGTGAGGCAGCTATCGTTAGAAGAGCAACTAGACCCGGTTTACGTTAGCGAGATTCTCCACTTTGGCGATTGCCTACGTTGTGTAGAGGCCGTCCTATCGGCCCTCTCACTAGTCAGTCTTCCAGCCCGGTTTTACTGATGAACCTCATTTTTCTCTGAAGCTTCGATGCTTCTGATTTGCACCCTTTTTGCAGCTTTGGCGTTCGTTATCTTTTGATTTTCTTTGTTCCTTTGTTCATCACATTGTGTTCAGTCGGTAGGCATCGGCGTTACGGTGCTAAGTTGACCTCACAGTTCAATGTGCCTGGCGCTGGGTTGGTTCATGGTCATTGGAATTTGTGGCATGGTGTCAATTATTCCTTCTCATTTGTGATCTTTCAGGATGATATGTTTCTTAGGGCTTTTCTATCTGCATCGGCCATAACAGACCACGTCCAACTCCTGGGGCTGATCTTCAATCAATGAGCTCAATGTCTTTCAATAACAGGAAGAGGGAGACACAGGCCTTGGCATTACATTCTTTGCACGTGGACTGCGCAAAGCCTTTTGATATCCTGTTTCATGCCCCCGGAATTTCCTATAACCCTTTTTTTTCTTTTCTTTTCTTTTCCCATGACTTGACTCTGCATCTAATGGCGATCTCTCTTTACATACTTCTCTAATTTTCTATGCTATTACCCGGCATTCTGTTTTACTTGTTGCTGTTGATTTTCTATCGTCCCGTCTATACCACGCAGCTTGTTGTAGCGATCCTATGCATGCAATTGATCTCTTACCCATGAAATGTCACCGTGCCCTTTGTGCAGTGATGCTGCCCATTGCAAGCGGAGCGGCTCCCATCAGATGATGCTGTAACGCGTACTGCTTACTGTCTTGAAGTCGATGTTCCTTCTTTTGACGTTCTCTTGCCCGCCCAAAAGGCGAGCATATCCAGGCCAAGGCCAGTTGTGGCAGTGCCTCCAGGCATCATTACCGTCCCAGCTGGTGGTTGGGAGTGCGGCCAGGCAATTCGCAGCGAGGCCGACTGGGCATGTAGGTATGGAAAGCTCTAAGCGCCGCTTCATGTTGGTTTCTTTTGCTAGTCCGCAGGAACCAGTCAAGACATTGGAGAGGGCTTGCATTGTGCAAAGGTCATGGGAAACGCCCATGGCTCGCGCGGAGTTCCTCGAGCTCAGACCGTTGATCCTAGCGCTCGAATGAAATGATAGACGGGGGAGAACGTTGATGACCCGCCGATCAGACAGGAAGGTTGCAGTGCGGGGGTGGGGGGGAATGAGGCCGGAGATGGACTGGACCCGGAGGACTGAGCTGCGGGCGGGTGGTTAGTAGTAGTACGTAGTAGATTTATTCCAAAGAGCTGTATAAAGGAAGATGCAATCAAAAGGGGGAAAAGTAAAGAGAATAACAGAAATAGTACATTGTATTGCATGCATCAATACATGTGGGTGATGTCGTAGAGACCAGACCTGTAGTAGTAGTAGCAGTTAGTAGTTCTGGCGATTCAAAAAGCAGCAACTGTTAGTAGTAAATGGAGTAGTTGAAAGAAGTAGTAGGTATTCAGAGACAAGACTGTTTACTTACTATACGGTATCAATACACCGTCACCCAGTCCAGAGTCAATCCTTCCTCCATCCACTCCACTAGTTACTACTTCCTCCCCTCCCCGATCAACATGCGTCATAGCGGCAGCTCCGGTCAGGCCAGACGGCTACTGTCAGACGGACGAGATGGTGGTAGTGGAGCAGTGATGAACTAACTCATGCTGTCTTGTCTCGTTTCTGTCGCCTAAAACCCCTCAATCCAAGGAAACGTCGTGACTTCTATTGAGTTCAGGCCCAGTTCCGGACAATCCGTCAGTCAACACACACATCCTCCCCATCCAATGCTGGTCTAGCATTCAGGGAGCTACACGGCAGCTTGGGGCGTTGCCCAGTTACGCTGTTCTATTTGCGAATTGAACTAGTTGGAAGTTCCATGAAAGTCTAGACACTTGCTTCGCACGACAATGCATGAGCACCCGGGGGCCAAACGTATGATCATCCATTCCGGATTCCTGTTCGATCCTCCATCTATCGCCAACTGCCATCCCAGACTTCCATATTACCCCTCCCGGTTGTCTCGCATGCCCTGCTTTGATCCCAGCATTGCGATTAAGACACCCTTGTCACGCGGTCGATTGAGAGAAAGGGGGTGGGGGGGGGGGGGGGGGAGGGGGAAAGTGAAGGTCTGCTACTCTCTATTCTTACTATAGTGAAGTATAGTCAGTCCGTGGTACTACTTACAGTACCTCGCTCCCACCCCCCTCCCACTACTTCCTTCCTTCCTTCCTTCCTTCTTCTTTGTCTTCTCCCCCTCCCTCCCAAGTCTTTCCCCCTTTTTCTCTTTCGCCTTTTCCCACTATAGGATTCGAGGCGCTCCATTAGCTCAGGCTTCTTTGTTATTGAATGCCTCATACTCAAATCATTGGGCTAGTCTATTGAACACTTCTTGAACTAGCTAGTGTTTCCGCCACTTCAACGCTTGTTCAGCTACAATGGCCTCGGAACCGCCTCGTCGTGAAAGAAAGCCTTCGGTTGGAGCTCCGGTGTCTGAGCTCCAAGGACCTATTGGTCCCGGCTTCAGTCGTCCCAAGCACAGACGTACCTTCACCGGCTTCGGACCCGCAGAGATCAAAAGTGTCGAAGCTAGTATTCCCGAGCATCTTAGGGAGGCGTGAGTATTGATCCTGATATAACTCTTTTGCCATGATAGCCGTCGCTCTCCATAGCTGCAAAGCTGCAAGCTTGTTTCATATTCAACCGTCATTGGAGTATCGCTGACCTGCATTGTACCCTAGATGGCGGAAGCACGTAGGATACTCGATGACGCGCTTTGAGATCTAAGATCGTTTTGCTAAGCCTGTGTTTGTCATAGTCCGCCAATGGATTTGCCAACAAAGAAGAGTTCGAAGTAAGTTGGATAGTACATACAGCGTCGAGCATTTCACTTATGATGTGAATAGGATGAGCTGGTCCGCCACATCGAAACTACTTTGGCTCGCTCCTTGTACAACTGTGACGAATTGTATTTTCAACACTCGCTGGACAGCATCAGGGAACGAACCGCTGACGTATTAGGGCCGCATACTCTGGAACCGCCCTAGCCTTTCGAGATCGCTTGATCATCGAATGGAATAAGACGCAACAGCGACAAGCTTCTGCCGACCAGAAGCGAGTGTATTGTGAGCGGATCCTTGAAATACTTAGACTATCATTCACGTATCTGTGAGAACACTAACAACTCTTGCCAGATCTTTCTCTCGAATTCCTTATGGGCCGAGCTCTGGATAATGCCATGCTCAATGTCGGCTTGAAGGACGTTGCAAGAGGTAGGAATCCTAGAACAAATGCCCAATAACTCCTACTAATCCTATGAGATAAGAGGGCCTGAAGGACCTTGGCTTCCGAGTCGAGGATGTCATTAGCCAGGAGCATGATGCTGCACTGGGAAATGGAGGTCTTGGACGCTTGGCTGCGTGCCTACTCGACAGTCTGGCGACATTGAACTATCCAGCCTGGGGCTACGGTCTACGCTACCGTTATGGTATTTTCAAGCAGGAAATTGTAGACGGGTATCAGATGGAAGTCCCCGACTACTGGCTTGACTTCAATCCATGGGAGTTCCCTCGGCATGAAATCACTGTCAATATTCAGTTTTATGGCTGGGTGAGAAAATACCAGGACGAGAATGGTAAAACCATCCACTCATGGCAAGACGGCGAAACTGTGCAAGCAGTAGCGTACGATGTTCCTGTCCCGGGCTATGGCACACGGACCACGAACAATCTTCGGCTGTGGTCTTGCAAGGCTTCCAGCGGAGAGTTCAACTTTCAGAAATTCAACGCTGGCGATTACGAAAGTGCTGTCGCAGAGCAACAACGTGCGGAGACAATCTCTGCGGTGCTCTATCCGAATGACAACCTTGACAGGGGTAAGGAGCTAAGACTTAAACAACAGTACTTCTGGTGTGCTGCCTCTCTGTTCGACATTGTCCGGAGATTCAAGAAGACCAAGAGAGCTTGGAGCGAGTTTCCCGATCAGGTTGCCATTCAATTGAATGACACTCATCCAACCTTAGCTATAGTCGAACTTCAGCGCATTTTGATTGATAACGAAGGTCTCGAGTGGGACGAGGCATGGGCTATCGTGACAAAGACCTTCGGGTACACGAATCACACGGTTTTGCCGGAGGCCCTGGAGAAGTGGTCTGTCCCGTTGGTGCAAAACCTGCTACCACGGCACATGCAGATCATTTTCGACATCAACTTATATTTCCTTCAGCATGTTGAAAAGAATTTTCCGCAAGATAGAGACTTACTGTCTCGGGTGTCGATTATTGAAGAGTCCCACCCGAAGATGGTGAGGATGGCTTACATCGCTATTATTGGCTCCCATAAAGTCAATGGGGTCGCAGAACTACACTCAGATCTTTTGCGGACCACCCTTTTCAAGGATTTCGTGACAATATACGGCCCGGACAAGTTCACCAATGTTACCAATGGTGTTACTCCACGTCGTTGGCTACACCAGGCAAACCCACGATTGTCTGATCTAATCGCTTCCAGGCTCGGAGGATATCAATTCTTAACTGATTTGACACTTCTAGACCGGCTCGAGGCTTTCGTTGATGACAAGGCATTCCAACGTGAATGGGCCGAGATTAAGACCGCGAACAAGATTCGTCTCGCTAAACACATCAAAGAGACAACCGGTTACAGTGTAAATCCACAGGCTTTGTTTGATATTCAAGTCAAGCGGATCCATGAGTACAAGCGGCAGCAGCTTAACATCTTCGGTGTCATCCACCGATACTTGAGGATCAAGTCAATGTCTGCGGAAGAGAAAAAGAAGGCACTGCCGCGCGTATCTGTCTTTGGAGGCAAAGCAGCCCCAGGCTACTGGATGGCAAAGACCGTTATTCACCTGATTAACAAAGTTGCATCCGTCGTAAACAATGACCCTGAAGTTGGTGATCTTTTGAAGGTGATCTTTGTCGAGGACTACAACGTCAGTAAGGCCGAAATTATCTGTCCAGCGTCTGATATCAGCGAGCACATCTCAACCGCTGGTACGGAGGGCAGCGGTACTAGTAACATGAAATTCGTCATGAACGGTGGCTTGATCATTGGAACTTGCGACGGTGCTAACGTATGAAGCCCTATATCCCGTCTGCGATGCTAGCACTGACCATTGCC